AAAAGATGCTGGACTGCCAAATAAATATTGGGGAGATGCTATCCAGTATGCAGCCTACCTAATCAACCAATCACCAACCCATGCTATCTCCAAGGATGTCACACCATATGAAGCCTTTACAGGGATTAAGCCATTGCTGGCCCATATCCAAACCTTTGGCTGCACCGCACACATACATATACCTGAGGAAAAAAGAAAGAAGCTAGATGCAAAGTCCTTAGAATGCATTCATCTGGGCTTTGCAGAGAACAAGAAAGCATACCTATGCTTACACCAGCCCACTGCTCATGTCTTCAAATCCTGGGATGTAGTATTTGATGAGGGAAGCACAGCAGCAGGCCTAGATCACGTCTGGATAGAAGAAGATCCTGCAGGCATGGTTAGTAAACCAGTGGACATAAGAGGGAATGCCCAAAAGGGCAATATGTCGCACCTGGATACCATCAGGGCTTCAGGCATGGAAGGCCATGCTCACATGGAGTCTGATGATGGGGATCTCAAGTCTAGTGAGGGAGAGAGTGAAGATGTTGTCCATGAGGTCGAAATCAAGTCAAATGACACACCTGATCACTCAGGATCAAAGGTAGATCATTCCCCACAGCACTCAGAGGGTAGCATGCCAGGCAGCAGCCAGAGTCCTAAAAAAGCGCTTGAAACGGCCTCAAAACCATCAGTAAAGCGAGCTAGGATGATGCTGAAACCTACCATGCATAAAGCAACACCCCCGCAGCCCTATCCAACTCCAATTCCGCCTCGAGAGACCTGCAGGTCCACCAGAACACGAAAAGTGCCACCTAGAGATGATGATTATCGCTTTTTCATCAATTCCTATGACAGGACAACCTTACCTAGTCAACAGCTTGCAGCGCCAGAGGGTTCAGGTGCAGAGAGTGAGGGTGGAAGTCCCGTCGATGAAGTCGCTCAAGAGCAAGAGCATGCATGTGGCAACAGTGAGGCTGAGGTGGCTGAGATGAATGAGGAAGTGGCTTACAAAGCATCCACAACACATGACAATGAACCTTGCTCATTCAACGATGCAATGCGACGCACTGATGCAGATCAGTGGTATGCTGTGATGATTGACAAATTACAGACCTTTAAGTCCATCAGACTGTACAAGGAAGTTGCCCTGCCCCCTGGCCATAAACTGATTGACTCGAAATGGGTCTACAAGATCAAGTGAGGGCCAACCGGTGAAATTGAGAGGTACAAGGCTCATTTGGTAGCCAAAGGCTTTACACAGGTACATGGGATCAACTACACAGAGATGTTTGCACCTGTCACCAAGTTCACAACCATCTGCATACTCCTCGTGCTTGCTGCTAAGTATAATCTCAAAATTCATCAGATGGATGTTAAATCCGCATTCCTAAATGGACTATTAGATGAAGAAATATACCTTTGCCCCCCTCTGGGCTTTCCTCCTGACAGCAACAAAGTCTGGTGGCTGCTATGAGCACTCTATGGCCTTAAACAGGCCCCCAAGTCATGGTACTCTCACCTTCGGACTGTTTTTGAATCCCTGGGTTTCACTCGAAGCCAGGCCAACCATAGCCTCTTCTTTAAAGTTGAGAATGGCATACTCATTGTTGTTGCTGTCTACGTAGATGACAAGCTAATACTCTCAAAGTGCTGCACAACCATTGAGTGCATCAAGGCTCAGCTCTCACAGGAGTACAAGATGAAAGATCTGGGGGAGACATGTTGGATTTTAGGAATGGAGATACTTCACGACCATGATAAAGGTATCATACAGCTCTCACAGAAGAGATATGTTGAGAGTATTCTTGAGCACTTTGGAATGAGTGAGGGGCGAGCCGTCACGACCCCCATTGAGCCTAACCTAAAGCTCAAAAAACTAGAAATTCCAGAGGCCAACACCAAGTCATACCAGGGCGCTCTCGGAGCCCTCATGTATGCAATGCTAGCAATGAGGCCTGACCTTGCCTTTACTGTAGGCATGTTGAGCCATCATGCTGCATGCCCTGGGCATGAACACTCTACTGTGCTAAAGCGCATTTTTCGCTATCTGTGACACACCCCCAATGTCTGCCTTACCTATAAGCGAGACTCAAATGCATGTGCGATCAGGTATGTAGATGCAGATTGGGCAGTGGATATCAATGACCGCTGCTCTGTTACTGGCTATATGTTCATCCTTTCTGGTGGAGCTGTTAGCTGGTCATCGAAAAAGCAATCATCTGTTGCTCTCTCAAGTACAGAAGCTGAGTACATGGCCACATGCACTGCCATGAAGGAAGCTATCTGGATTCGTACCCTAGTCCTCAAACTCAAGACTGTGTCATCACACAAACCCACTCCCCTCCTCATCAACAATCAATCTGCTATCTCACTGGCTCAAAATGTGATGTTCCACGACCACATGAAACATATTGCAATCCATCATCACTTCATATGAGAGAAGGTGGATTCTGGAGAAGTAGTCATCAACTATGTGTCTACCAATGACCAGGTGGCCGATGTGCTGACTAAGGGTGTGTCTAGGGAGACGCATGTTCATTTCTCTGAAGCTATGGGTATTGTTTTCTTTTAATTCCTTCTTGACTACACTCGCTGAAGGGGCATGTTGGAGTTTATCACCTTTACCTTAGTTGTGGTTCACCAAGCACAGCATTATGTAATCCAAAAGCGGACACTTAGCAGTTTATTTTTTCCTTACTGCACCTCAGCTTCAACCAACTTGAAGTCTGAGGTGGGACTCCTTCCATTCATTATATTGGAACACTTACTTACCTACCTACAGTATATTCCTCTCCATAGACTTGACAATCCTGCAGTGCATCATCCTCCAAAATTCAGCACCAGGCTGAGTCATTGGGCTAGGAGGTAAGGATCTTTTTGTTGCTTGGTGAATGGACACTCAGGTGTTAACCATCTTTTTATTAAGTATTTGGATACTTACTCTTTTGTCTCTGCAGGGGATCAGTTCTGCAGATGGTGGAGAAGGTATCAGTGGGGATATCATTTAGGGTTTGGGGTTAGACCATATAGGCTGGAAAAAAATATGTAGTGGTGACAGCAAAGTGAGGCACTTGCAATGACACTACACGAGGAGCTTTCTTGTGGTTACCTCGAAGTTCCAAGACACCAAGGTCTGTATTTCAGGTAGGTAGGAAATTCCTCCCCATACGTTAAGATACATGGCCCTTTTTATAGTAGAGAGAACAGGCATGCGATATCAGTAAGAACGGGTGTGGGTAAGAACTAGATCAATCACAAATGAGATACATAGAAGAAACGTCAGAAGAATATTGAACAAGTGACGTGCGGCCGACAGCGTCGGTCCGAACCTTACAATTAGCTTTTAAGCAAGATCAAGTAAAACAATTTGGCTCACAGCAATCCGAATCGCAATAACGCCGCTTTAAAACAGTCGGAATCCAACGGAGGTGTATCTATGAAAGCGAAACGTTTTCCATTACGGACACCGGCAAAGGCACCGACGGTCGTCGTGCAGAAGCTGAGTAAGTCTGCACCCAGTTCTGGTTGTGCCCCAGTAAGCATCTTCATAAACTGCATGTCGTGTGGGCGACGACATAATGCCGACATTTCACTGTCACCGAAAGCGAACAGGAAGATGTTGCTTAGAATGCCGTTGTGCGTCTTTTTTCTTTGTTATCGTCATCTACGACGTTTCTTTTTTCCTGAACGGACTTTCTAACCGACGACCACAGGCAGCGAGCCGACCTCGTGGTTAAAGATCCAGAGACGACACGAAGAGAATACGATCGAGGACTTGAGGTGGCGTTGGGGGATCTCCTTCCCTATATCTTCCACACTGACTCTGGAATATCATCAAAATTCTCGTGGCGAACCTCTGCCCTGAGAAACGCGCCAAGTTCGTTCCTGCCCCGTTTCAATTCGACGTCATCTCAGGTCTCGCCTTGCTGAGATATACACCCAGTTCCGGTTACAAAAATACAGGTTTTCCCGGGCTATGAGTTCCTGAAGTGTCCACCCGTGCGCGAACCACCTTTGGCCATTCATTGAACTTGTCAGGTTTGGAGTTATGTATCCATCCAGAACCAATGCAGGCCATCAGAGTAGGCTTTCGTGCAAACGTTGCGAAATTTTTGGTGGGCCCACTCGCCCTTGCATCTCGCGTCTCGCGGTGACAATCGACACCCATCTTCGTGAGGTTTGCCATCTCCGTATAGTCCACTTCGTTGATTGGTTACGGACCTCCCATGCAGGACATAATAGTGCATACGCGTGCGAGACAAGCAAAAAAAACTGAAAAGGGCGGAGGTTAAATAGTTTCGCGAGTTCAGAAGTACCACTGCAGGTAGGGAGGGAAGGGAACGACGTGAGGACCGAACGGCAAATTGTAATGGGCCCGAACACACGACACTCAACGTATCAAAGAGCAGGCCTCAGTGCGAAACCAGGACTTAGTAATAACCTCTGCACCCAGCTCGAGAGTATCAAGAACTCCAGGGACATCTACCACGAATAGACAAACCCTTCTTATCCCGGACCTGCAGTGGTCAGTTTGGTGATGGCCCTGGCCTTAGCTGAATCAGTGGCTTCCGATGCCACGGCCAGGGCTTGCATAAATTTCAGGCGCTGAGGAGCTCCGAGGTTTCGGTAGTAATGCAATATTGCCACATCCTGGCCGGTGGGCGTCGGGCGAGCTGCAGCACTCCAAGAGTGGACGTCTTCCAAAAGTCGTCTCCCTCGTCAGCCATCTTCTCCCGAAGTGAAATTATGTTCTTCAGGTCCCCTGTCGAACAGCGAGCCCTGTCCACCGAGGATGAGTTCGCAACCTTTTCTCTCAACTGTCCTCTCCTGCACCACTCTCTTTGCATGTGATTGCATGGCCAAGTTGGTGTCCGTAGCGTCAGTTTACAAGCAGTACTATAGACAGTAGGTCAATCACACGCATATGGGTTGGATTCACCTCCTCAAACCTCAGAGGCTTCTACGACGAATATGAATCATGTCTCTCGAATGCGGACGGGGTCATTTCAAATGATACAGTCGTCATGTACCAAACCCATGCTTGGGAGGATAATTGGCGGACATGTGCTCCACATCGTGCAGCTTACACGGAGAAGGGTACGACCTGGTACAACTATATAACTGCTGTACAAATCTCGCGCAACATGCGTCAGTCGGTACTAAAGAGGTCATACGATTCGTAAAGCAGATATCCAGTGCAATTCCCAATTCATTTCAACCATTTCCCTCTGAACCTGGAGTGCTTTCCTTTCTTCTCCTAGCCCCTCCAGAATCCCCCATGCTGAGTCTGAAGCATCAGGGAACTTTTCCCAACGAGCCCCTGCGCCAAGGAATAGGTCCAAATGGGCTTTCAGTGAATGCTCCACATCAGACGCATCCGATTCATCCAAATCATCCAACGTGGTTGTCACCAGTCGCATTCGATCAGCCGCTTCCATCCCACAGATGGCAGAAAGAATTCGAAAGTTGTGTTTAGCGCCCTCGAAGTCTTTGTCAGTCGTTATGTCATGTGTGTAGATCACGCCGGTAAGCTTGATGGATCTACGGTATCTGTAAAATTAGGTGAAATTTGAAGCCGAACCACATACACGAGCTTGCTCACATGAAGTCCAACCACATGGATATTTCTCTAATTGTTGTCACGTCAGGCTCAAATGTGGGCGTGTCTATGAAGACAAAACGCTTCCCGTTACGGACGTGCGTTTGGGCGCTAGTACGATGCGTGCGGGGTTTAATTTCACGGACATTTCTTTCCGGTTGGAAGGTAAGTTTATCGATAAACTAGACCTTGTCCGTGAGTGGTGATCCGATGTCAGCATTTTGCCGTCAACCCACGTCACTCTTTTTAGAACCCATTGGTCCCAAGAACCTGTTAGGAAAGTATAGGTTTGAAAGGAAAAGGATTGCAGACAGTACATACAAGATCACGACATCATCAGCCTTGATATCTGTCATTCTAATTTGAGCTCGTACTCCGGTCTGTGCCATTGAACGCGGCGATGTCAACACATACTACGCAACCTGAAAAGTATATATATAAAAAGTACCTGAGTAGTTAGTGGGCCTCTGACTTTCTTGTGGGAATCATCTCTGTATGGAAGAAAGATCTGCTGGAATTCGACCGACTTTTCTTTATCCCAATTATTCATTGTCCGAGGGCAGAAATATCTAGAAAGGGAGGTGAAAGCCGTGGTCTCCACCAAGACAGTTATTGGACCAGAGGCTTCTTGGGCGTTATTGCATGCCAGTATCGCTATCTTAGCGGACAGTTGACAAGGCTCAAGAGTCGCGGTGTGTTGGAAGGGAAGCCATATTTGAATTCCGTCATTTGTTACAGTGAATGTGCGGAGCCGTTCTTCCGCAGCTGTGACCTTGCGTAGTTCTCTCCTCGACAAACTCTTTCCGAGGGTACGTACGAATTCTCTGCGATCGATTTGTTCAATGTTTGAACAGTCTTGAAAGTCGCTAGGATCCTCAGCTAGGAAGCTCCTACTCCGTCCGATCGCTTTTCTCCAGCCCCAGGCAAATATGCTTTGGTCGTTGGTCGACCGGATGATTTCCAATTGCAGTCGGAGGAACGCGTTCTTCCCCTCCCCATACAACATTGGCATATGCACGCCAAATAGCCCCAGTAACGAATATGCTCTGTCTTCCTCTCGCGTTGTCGTCCGGTCAGCAGCCCAAGACATAATCTGCGCTACACTTGGACGTGAAAAGCTCAGACCCTTCACCAAGACGTCGACGGAAATCCGGGTAATGATATTCAACGTGTGTGCATGGTCATTCTTATCACCGATATACACCCACTCCTTGTTGAAAAAGCGGACATGTTCGGGGGCGACGAGCTCTTGGAGTGTCCATCCGCGCGAAAACCAGCCGGGCCAGCCATTGAACTCGGCGAAATCGGCATGGTGTTTGGTAGGGAGGACATCAGTGTTCACGTCGTGGAGGAACGCATAACAGACCTCCGAGTTCGCATACCACACGAACATGGAGTTGATGGCTTCTGATAATTCAGCACTGCTCCTCTTGTCAATGCAGCACGTGTCCACCCAAAGCCAATGCAGTTTATCGCCAAGGGCCTGCTTGCAGCTTCCATAAATTTTTCGGTACCCACTGCGCCTTGATATATCGTCTCTGGTGGTGGTGTCCATCGTCGTAAGTCCTTCCATCTCTGTAAACTGCACCTCGTCTTCCGGAGCGCCCCAACAATGGGATAATATGGCATATGATGTGTGTGTAAGTCTGATCGCATTGAATTCGACAAGAAGCCTGGTTTCAGGTCTGGCCCTGCCTTCGACAAAGTCGACGAAGGCCTTGACATCAATCAAGCGCATTAAGTCAAAGACTGAGGATGAGTCAGTGGGCAGTCTCGCACGGAGGTCAATCACCATACCAAGCGTGATTAAGAGGCGGAGTGTTGAAGGCTTCGACGAGGGAAGATAGACGCTGAAGGAAGAGACAACGAAAGAGACGGTGTGTGGGGGAATGAGGTATATAAGACAGAAAGAGAACGTGGAACCCAGTGGCGTTAGTCATATTTATGCTTCAAGTTACACTCGTAAAGAGATGTTCGTGGATGATTGTAAAACGTGTTTCGATTCCTGTACGAGTACATCACTGGTTATCTATCTGCCTGTGCTATACTGTAATACCAGATCGATCTACAACACCAGAAAGCGGTGCAGGTATGGATGACGTGTGTGCACATGTATTCGTGGTGACCGTCTCAGTACAGCAATCGTTTCGAGGTGAATACCGGTTTCGTCCCTTTCCCGCTCCAGCCCGTTCGATAACTTACACCCAGGTTAACGTGGGTTCCCCGGCTCAGCGGTCGGCACACTGTGCCCCTGTTGGAAGTTACACCATATTATCCCCTAATGCTATCTCGAGTCCCCGATCATGTTCTCTTCGTGTCGTTTTAAGATCTTTGACAAGGTCGGCTTCTTGTCTGTTTTTAGTCAGACGTCGTCGATGTTAGTCACATTTGTGGCCGTCGGTTAGGAAGCCCGGGAAGGGAAAAAGAAACATCGTAGACAACGATAACCACAAAAAGACGCACAACGGCATGCTAAGCAACAGCTTCCTATTCGTTTTCTCCATCTCCGAAGCCACCTTCATTGCGTGGGCAAGGTTCCGGTGTTGGAGTAGCGGGTCAGCTGATCTTCGCCGGGCAGGACCAGAGTGGCGCACCTTTCCGATCCAAACTCCCAGCTGTTCCGGACGGTCGAGTTAAGGAATGCAGTAGCAGATTTATCACACGCACTCATCCCGAGACGGGAAAGAGCCAATACAAGCTCAAGCTTGGTCGGTATGTGATTTCGATCGATGGATTTTCTACTCCGGGAAGACTGACTTGCTCCGCCTGCCGATCCTGTCGTGAATGCACCGATGCCTCTTCGTGCTGGTTCAAGTCGCGGTGGAACCCAGAGCCTGCAATATGCGCGGCAGAGTTTGTGTGGGTATGCTGGAAGCAGATTCTCTGCTGGAACTTACGACGATGCGTATCTTATTTTTGGGGTTTCATCGAGGGTGACTCACCTTTGGTGTCGGACGAGTGTAGGTTATTTCTTTTTGTTATCCCCTCTTTAGTATGATGTGCATTACCAGCTACGTCTTCGCTAACGCCCCTCTTGATCCTGTATTAATGAAGTATTTGACCGTCCAGAGTGACGCCCTCCACGGGGGCCTACACGGCGAAATCTGAGGTGGAACTGCAAGAGCCGAAGCTCAAGCTCGAACGAGAGGTGTTCGCTGTTTGGTAAGGAGATGGAAAAGGGAGCCCGGCGAGGCGAGAGACAAGACGAGGATAGCTACCACGTGACCAACCACACTTGGCGGCACACACTACATACACCCTTGCGTTTACAACCAGCACCGTTGCTCGTTTCAATACTTAAACGACATTGCAATCTTATCCAACTCACAGATATCAAACTATCGATTCCTCGATGGCCAGATCCCAGCCAAGGAAACGTCGTTTACGGTATATTGGGGAGCCACCCTCGTCAGCGCCTAACGTCTCTTCAGTAAGCAATCTCTTTTTGCCGGCGCACCAGACTAATGGATCGGCCAAACACAAGTCGCAAGGGCAGTCTCAGGCTCCTGTTGGGGGCATTGCGTCGAGTCCTGGGCAATCGGGTGATGGCTTAAAGAGCAAACTAGCCGCTATGAAAAGTCGCTTTACCCGGTCTCACCGAGGCCCGTCGATTTCCTCTGCGAACCCCATTGCATCTGAAGGGGCCCAGGAAAACCCAGGACCACGACAAGTTGCCAAAGATGTTGATGTATGTGATCTACGATGTCTGACACTGCAACAATGCTAAGCGTGAATCTTAATCTTTTATAGACTCAAGGGTTGCTCAGTAAAGCGAATCTCGATCCTGACCCAGCGTTGGCAGGTGATGACCTTGATGTTGCTCGATATTGTGTTGGCAAAATTGCTGTCAACACTGTCGCACAAGCTAGTACCGCGGTTGCCGTCCCTCAGAACTTGAGGAGCACCTATCTCCAACCTCCTAAAATCTTTAACAATGTAGTCACCACTATTGAAAACGTGCGTAGGTTTCTTCTGGCATCTGCTCCGCGACTGAACGATCCCGTGCAGGTGCATCCCTACGCCCAGATAGCGTTGGGCATTCTCAGGGCCGCTTCCCAAGTACGCCTCAGAGTCCTTTATCTACTTTCTTTACTCACTGCCCTTGCGCCAGCTGATCATTACGGAAGCGACCCTAGATAATGCGATATCGGAGCTCTTGAAAAAAGTCGCCTCCGTGTACGCATTCCTTTTGGAAGATGACACCATCAAGAACATTGATACCATAAAAGTCCCCTTGGCGAAGATTGCGCGGGTAATCAGTGCCTGTGCGCAGTTCATCAAAGATTACTCAGAAGTAACAAACTTTTGTAGGTCCATTTCCTCTTCGTTGAAGCTCTCATCTCACACTTCCTCAGGGAAGAGGCTTGGAAGGAACATAATGTCTGAGACGCAGACTGCCATTGACGACTACACCAAAACGCTAGACGAGTTGATGCAGCAATTGCGAGATTGCCAGACCCAGGACGTTCAGATCAACGTATACCGCGTCATCGAGGACCTGAACATGGAGGGAATGGCTTACGCAGGCGGGGCGGGCTTGAATACGCTGAAGAAGTGCCTAGAGAACACGAGGACAGAGATTCTGCGGGACATCATCAATTGGGTCAATGATACTCGCCCGGACACCCCGTGCGTTTTATGGCTTCACGGGCAGGCTGGGGGGGGCAAATCTACGATCGCCCATACCATTGCATCTTGGCTCAAGGATGTAGGAGGGCTTGGATCTTGCTTTTGTTTTGCCCGTGACAGGCAGGCTGAGCGCCGGGAAGAGAAGATGCTGACAACTATTTCCTGCGATCTGGCCAGCCGTTATCCCGCATTCCGACGATCATTAGGTCGTGTTCTCGCTGAGGACCCCTCTCTGAAGACGACGCCCGACTTGTTTCAACAGTGGCAAAAGCTGATCTTAGAGCCGTTGCTCAAGGCCGCAGGTGCTATTGCTGGAAATGTAGTATTGGTGATCGATGCATTGGACGAAAGTGGGGAGGTCTTATGGAGGAAACATATTCTGTCGCTTCTGACGTCGAAGGAAGCTGCAAACATGTCGAGTGTTCGCATCCTGCTAACTTCCCGACCTTTACCAGACATCGAACGCGCTCTAAGGGACGCCATGAACGTCAGAACGATCTGTCTCGACGACGTCCCTGCGGAGCTGGCGCAGCGTGACATCACGCTATTCGTTTCGAAGGAACTTCTCAGCCTCAAAGACAGTTTTAGGCCCCCGGAGATACAGCAGATTGTTCACAAGTCGAATGGCTCGTTCGAATGGGCACGTCTAGCCTGCGCGTTTATCAGGCCCTACAGAGATGGACTAACTGTGAAGGAGCGCTTGGACGAAGTGATTGCTCTTCAGCCTGCGGAGGGAAGAACCCTTCTGGATACCACTTATAGTGCAATCCTGGAGAGTGCCATACCTCCATCCCCGATACCTCTTGCACGCTTCTGCTCGGTCATGCAACAAGTTCTGTTGATGATAGAGCCTGTATCCATGGTGACCTTAGATTCCTTTCGCGAATGCTTCCCAGATGAAAGCGATGACTATAATGTTGCTATCATCCTGCGGTTCATGGCTCCAATGCTGGATGGAGTTACTAATTTGGTCTCACCTATCTGTCTCCTCCACTCGTCATTTTATGACTTCTTGACTGATCGTTCACGAAGTGGAGTCTACTTTGTCGACATTTCCAACTCATATGACCTGACCTTTGCCTTATTGCGGGTTCTTTCTGAACATCTCCAATTCAACATCTGTGGACTGGAAAGTTCCTACCTCAGCAATTCAGAGATTCCTGATTTGGCAGAGAGGATCAACAAGAACATTCCACTCCATCTATCCTACTCATGCCGATTCTGGGCCCAACACCTACAGAAGACTGCTTTTGACCCAATACTTGCAGGACTGGTGGTGGCCATTGTGGGGAGCGAAAAAATCCTCTTCTGGCTTGAGATCATGAGTCTTCTTGGTGAAGTTGGGCAAGCTGCAGATGCACTTTTTTGCACAATTGAATGGCTACAGGTAGGCTCTCCATTGTTGTGTTTGATCTCATCTAAAATTAAATTGAAGGGTCAAAATGGTGTTGAGGACATATTAACATTGGTACAAGATGGGATTGCATTCATCCAAAACTTTGGCAGTGTGATTGCACACAGTTCATCACATCTTTACATTTCAGCACTGCCATTTGTGCCCTCAAACACAATGCTGTCAGCAAAACTCATGCCAAAATTTTCTGGGCTTGCTAAAGTTGACAAAGGGCAGCCCAAAGAGTGGGCAGCTGCCAAGCAAGCTTTACAGGGACACACTTCTTTGGTTAATTCAGTTGCATTCTCTCCTGATGGCAAGACAATTGTCTCAGGCTCAGATGACAAAATTGTGAGAATCTGGAATGCTGGGACAGGGGAGCAGATGGGTGGCCCTCTTCAGGGGCATATGTCTTGGGTCCAGTCAGTTGCATTCTCCCCTGATGGTGGGAGGGTTGCCTCTGGTTCTGATGACAAAACAGTGAGAGTGTGGGATGTTGACACTGGGGTACAGATAGGAAGTGATCTAAGGGGCCACATTTCTGGAGTCAATTCAATTGCATTCTCTCCTGATGGCAGGAGCATTGTGTCTGGTTCACATGACAAGACTATGAAAATTTGGGATGTTGAAGGAGGACTACAGATAGGCAGTTTTGAGGGGCACACTTCTGGAGTCAGCTCAGTTGCATTTTGCCCAGATGGAAAGAGGGTTGTTTCAGGTTCCTTCGACAACACTGTGAGGGTGTGGAGTGCTTGGGAGGGTGTACAGATTGGCAGCTATCTTGAGGGGCACACTTCTGGAGTCAACTCAGTGGTGTTCTCCCCTGATGGCAGGTGCATTGTTTCAGGTTCTCATGACATGACAGTCAGAGTCTGGGATGCTGAAGGTGGGGTACAGATAGGAATCCCTCTTGAGGGGCACATCTCTGGAATCAATTCAGTTACATATTCTCCTGATGGTAGGAGCATTGCTTCTGGTTCACATGACAAGAG